ATTAAAGGTTGCCAAGGCGTGCCCCTTGTGAAACGTTGCACAGGCTTATCTCCACTAGCATAATGGGTTTAAAGTATCCACTGGGAAGTGGAAAATAACAGTAAGAGAAAGATTGATTTAGATTATGGTTACATTAACAAGGATTAGAATTATGGATTTGTCTCAGTGAAATTTGGATGGATATCCAGATAGGTAGATTTTATGCTGAGACGATCCTCTTCATCCTGGCAATGAATCTACTGCGGCTTTCTAATTTTACAAAGCATAAATTTCATACATACTTTTACCTCCATGTCACGGGCTTGGGGCTAAGGCAACTCAATAATGGGGAATGAACAAGAAATGCTGAGGAGTTAAAACTCTGCGACACCTCCCTATCAAGCTCATCCCTGGCCCTCGGAGTCAAAGCGCTGCAGAGCCAAGCACATCCCCGCTTGTAACCTTACTACTCTATCCTTGATTAGGCTGCAGTTGAGAGAAATACCTTAGTTACTTTATTATTTCTGTGGTGGCACTAGCCGCTGGCAGACGTTCCATGCTTTTATACTAAAGACGGCAGGTAGGACACTTAAAAACTTCTGTCGAGGCCAAGCATACCTTGGAATATTATTTTATTATTGTTATTATTCTTACATTGCTCAAAATCAGAGGCACCAACAATCCAACACTCCTTGTCATTATATTGTAATACAAACACATACACAGTCCAAATGGTCGCTGCACCACAAGGCTTGGATCGAGGTTTAGATCCTCATTTCTTGTCTGTTTCATGTCTCCGAGTTAAAATAGATTTTTATCCTTCTTGACTCCTTAGCAAGTGAAGCGAAAATAGAAAATAGGAAAAAGGAAAAGCCCGGGTGAGCCGGACCGTCAGAGTCAGACACATCGTATTCGCAACTAGGAATACTGTGATACGAGGGCAATACATTAGTCTGCCGGGGTTCAGGCAGTGACGAATCACCATGCCAGACGCCTCCAGGCCGAGCTCCATATGCTTAACACCAGTAAGGTTGGCAACTTGGCATTTCTCCGCGCCTGTTAGTGACGCTGTAGTGTGTGTCAACCAGCCAGGTGTTAATTACTGTATTACTATCTTACCATTACCGCGGTTTCCAGCATTCACTTTCTGTACTCCATAAGTATCGAGTAAATGTCAATGTTTTGTTCTTAGTATTTTATGATGAATAATAGACGTGAACTTACAATAACATGGGACACCAAGGAAGAGAAAATGCTCGAAGGGTGGAGTTTATCCACTATTACTCTCATCTAACATTATTGCCTCGGTAGCGACCTTAGCGAGGGTCCGTCCAAGACCGCAGCTTGTTCTCGGACTTGCTTCAGCTCCGTTGCCTCCGATCTTCCTTTTCCGGAGTTCCCGGCTGTTGACAATTTGACAACAATCTTATGATTATTTCTCAAAGAGGATAGAGAACCCGTTGGATCACCGGCTGGAAGTCTTGACTCTTGACCCTTGAAAAAGTGTTAGGGGCACAGCCTCAATTACTATGTTGATCACATATCATTATGCCTAATATAACATTCAAAGGATTCAGTTCTCATTCCTGAGGACAGATATAGACTTCAATCCATCGCGTCCTTTTTCCTTTTTGACTCAAATCTGCCTACTCTAATAGGTTATCGAAAACGTCTGGATCAGATCTAACGTTCTTTATCGTCCATCCTCTCCACTAGAAATGACCGACAAGAACAGCAGCCGCCTTTGCCAAGGACCAGCCATGAACCAGTCTGGCCTGGCTGAGAACGATTTCTGGCTAGTTGGCTGCCTTACGAGTTGCTACTGCCTCAGTCACAGTACCCCAGACGGCCCACGTGGAACTTTAGCATCAAGATAGTCTCTGTCATGATTATCTAGTCCTTATCCACAGAGTACACACTACGGAACACCAAAAGCTCAAGGATCATGGGAAGATTCCTTTTGACTCTCGCCTGTCTTCATATCACGAATCCTGCAGCACATTGCTTAAATAATGCGGGGGATGTGATCCTCCAGGCTAGCATCTACGGAGTATCTAGACAAAGAGGAATGTAAGTTTCACCCTCAAAACGAACAACGCTCGCCTCATCATAGCATACATAGCTTGGAGTACGCACAGATAGCCTCAATCCACCAGTCATATGCAACCGGAATTCAGAGTTTTGTCCCCTCGAATCAACCCCTCTCGTCGGATACAATTCCCTCGTTATGGGGTAGAGATTACAAAGGATTTAGATTTAGGTTAAGTGGCGCATGTCATTCCCCAAGCTCGCTGCTCGACGCAGTACGGAGTACCCAAAGCGGAGAACACCAGATGGGAGCTAGGACTCGGACTCAGTCTCATCATCTCACCGAGCTCCCTTGTCCGGTTGTTTCGACGACACGGCCAGCTCCAGGATTGGACGGTCGGATCCCTCGCGCGCGACCCGTTGGCGTGGATACGAGTCAAAACGTTGGCGATGGCGTCGATTAGGCGAGATGGCGTTGCGTCGATTAAAGTCGTTGCCCGTTTCGGGCTCTGTGCGAACCTGAGGGGAGTTTTGATTCGTCTTTATTCTTGGGTTCCCGGGTTTGGTTGGGGGCGTTGGTTGGCGTTGGCTCGTAGGTTTAGTGCTTATTTATTGTAATCTATGAGTCCTGTCACGGCACGACGGGTCACGGGGATTTGATAAGATTTTGGATCAGTGGCCTGATATGGTAGTCTTTTCTGGGTATGCAAGTATTGTGATTAGGTACCGAGATGGTCCCAAGGATCGATGCTCAAGTGTCGCTCGGCGTGGTGCCAGGATGAAGGAGTCTATTCGTTCATAATGCTAAAATACATATCATACATTTACTACTTCGTACAGCAAAGGCTAACAGTCAGCCCGGCCAAAGTATCGAGGAAAAGCCACCACATCCCGCACACTCGAAACTCCAGCTAGATAACTGAGAAACCGGTCAAACCCAAGCCCGAATCCTCCATGCGGTGCGCTCCCCCACCGTCGCAGATCGGCGTACCACTGCAGATGGCCCAAGTCCTCATACGGCTGGAGATGGGGGTATAACGGCTGCTCAGGGGCCGTCTGGGTCGTAGGCGTCTCTCCAGCACCAGAGGCAGGATATAATCGCTCCTTGATCAACCCATGATCGCGCATGTTCTGGATAATGTTGGGCAGGCGGTGTTCGCGGAGTGATCCGCCCGCGACTTCGCTGACCTCCGGCAGGAGAAGATCGAAGCAGGCGACCGTTTCACCGGGCGCACGGAAGTCCTCTTCCTTGCCTGGGGCCACGTGGGACGGCGCCATGTAGAACGGCTTGATGGCCTTGGGATAGTCCGTCACAAATACCGGTTGACCCCGGTTGATCACGTCGACAATGTACTTCTCGTGTTCGAGTTGGAGGCCTTCCGTCCACGTAGGAGCATACTCAAACGAGACCTCTCCCCGAGCGACTGCCGCTTCGAGCAACTCCATCGCCTGCGTATAGGTGATTCGTCGCCAGCGAGGCCCCTCTATTAGATCAACCCATCGCTGTCGAAGGTTTGGCACTGCCCCATTCCCGGCATCGTCTTGGCCGCTCTCGCCTGACCGCTTGGCAGCCAGGATCTCTTGGCCGACCGACGACTGGTACAACCGGCGGGTAAGATCGCGGACTACATATTCCACCGCATCCGTCAGGGAGTCGAGATCGTCCATGAAGTTCATCTCTGCCTCGAGCATGTAGAACTCGCTGAGATGGCGTGGCGTGTCGCTCTTCTCCGCACGGAAGGTCGGTGAGATAGCCCAGACGTTTCCCAGCTCAGCTGCGTAGGCCTCGAGGTGGAGCTGCGAAGAGACCGTCAGGTACTTGGGTGCCCGGAAGAAATGGTTCCCCTCCGACTTGGGATCCATGATTGTCTCACGCGGTAGCACCGTAAATGTCTCCCCAGCTCCTTCGCAGTCGGATGATGTAATCAAAGGCGGTTGAACTTGCACATAGCCGCCAGTCGGCGCATCACGAAAGACATTGCCTAGCTGGTATAGGCATTCAGAGCGAAACCGTGAGAGGACGGAGTTGAAGGGTGTTCGTAGACGAAGGTGGGGAATCGACCGGAGGAAGTCAGGACTGTGATATTTCTTTTGTATAGGATATGTCTGGAAAGAAGTAATGAACAGTCAGATCCTACCCTCGTAACTTCTCATCTGGTCGGGGCAACGTACCTCTGGTTCTGCTTGGCCCACAACCTTCACCTCAGTCGTTTGAAGTTCATGGCTCTGCTCTTTACCAGGCGGACAAGCCTTCCATAACCCAGAAATCTCGACGGCCGTTCCCGTAGATAATCTACAACAACCATCAGCACTCAATTTCAAGCCGCAATATCCACGGCGTCATCGCGACTCTCAACGTACTCTGCCGCCTGCGCAGGCTTCAGGAACGCCTGCAATGGCTCAATAGTCGAACCATCTGTAATCTCTGCGAACGCGAAGCGCTTCTGCTTTCGAACAGAGCGAACGAAACCGTTGATCTTGATTTCTTGATTCTCGTAACTGCTGCTCCCAGCCTGACTCTTCCGGAGAACTTCGGCGCAGCGCAGAAGAGTGGTACCGCCGCTTCGTCCTGTTGCGTTACTATTCAGTCTGGCAACAGACGTGGCAAAGGTCCGCTGCCATGTCCGCATATCTCTGACTAGACTGGAAAAAAAGTTGTGTTGTGATGATGCCGTGTTGCTGAGACCGTATCTTCTCCGCTCAATTCGGCTCGGACCGAGTGCTGCTGCTTCCGCACGGCAGAATCGCGGTCGCCGAGGTCATCAGTACACGCCCTACGTTTGTTCTTGCTTGTGCGAAAAGAAAGACAAATAATTAAAAATATTTCATGAATCGCTTATATTGTAAGATATTACTGAAGGAAAGTGCGCCTACAAGGCATTATGGCCATGGTATGCTAAACCAAGCAAGTATAACAGCAGAAAGTCATATCACAAGCAACCAGACCGTGAAGAGATGAGAGTAGATGGAGAAAACGAGTGAAGCATTCTGATTCAAAGACCTTGCTGTTCGTACGCCTTGCGTTCTTCCTCAATCATCTCAATGGCGTCTGATATCTTGCCGTCCGCTGCGGCTGCATATACCGCAATCCGTTGAATACCACCCTCCAGTGTATTCTCGTATCCTAGGCCAATCAGACTAACCACGCAGTCGTCAATGGCACTCTGTCTTGGGTCAAGCTGTTGTTCGTTCTCATCCGGGACCGAGATTCCTTCCTGCGATAGGGGCAGGCTCCGAGGACGAGAGTGCCCGAAAGTATTGGAGTAGTTGTCGTATGCGCATCCCTCGTCGTGAAATCCACCAACGCTGTTCCGTGTACTATGGCGTAGGGAGTGTCGCTCAGTTGCCCGCCGTCTCAAGGCTCTTGAGGGACTTCTATCTCCATTGCGATTCAGGTATCTCATACTCTTTGACCGACGAGGCTTACAGTGATCATCATGACCTGTGCCTGAGGTTTGAGCTAGTTCTTGGAATGGACCTGACCGCGTCTCATCGCCATCATCGTCAGGAAACGAGCCTGGGGTACTTTGCAGTTGACACGATCTGCCAGGGACATCATTCCCATGGCTCGCATCACACTCGGGCGCCGACGCACCCAACACTGATGTGTCCGGGTCGCGACGGTGGTGGGTTAGAACATGAGCATCTATTTGAGACATGGGAGGAAAGCGGCTCCGCTCTAAGTCTCGATTGAGACGGGGGAAATTGTCAGGCGTAGTGCTCAGGATATTGTTTCCTTTTGGCTCATGATCTGTGCCTTCGTTGCTCGAACATAAATCGGTCACACTCAGAGGAATCGGTCGTGTCTCCCTCGCTTTGACGGACTCTCCACCAATATCATCTTGTCCAACCTCGCGCCGCTCAGGCTTTCTTCCCGAAGATGGATTGGCCGAGCTGTGCAGCTCCGATGGTCGACGAGCGTGGCCCCACTCTGGAACCTGGTCAGGATGGATGGACGTAATTGGCGAATGGTCGCTTAGTTCCAGATTGATAGAGTGACCATCAATGTGTGTACCTTGCAAGGCATCCAATGCCGCCCTTGCCGCGTGAATCGAAGGGAAGTATAGGTAGCCAAAGCCAGCATGTTTCCTGGTTTCGGCGTCCAAAGGCAAGTGGACATCAACAAGGAATCCCTTTGCAGCGAATACATCTCTGATTGTATTCTCACCGACATTGAACCCTACATTGCCAATGAACAACACTGCATTTGCAGAACGAGCTGCACCGGCGGTAGCGTCGGGGACTTGGTTTATAGCAGCTGTCGGCGCTTCAGACTGCTGCTCCTGGGGCGGCCAGAAAAATGGCCACGCGGAGCGCCATGATCCATGATTGTGAGCACGCGGATGAGGCGGAAATGATGGACGGAAGGGGCCGTGGGCTCCCCATGATGGGCGAGGAATATGCGAAGGATGGAAAGGGTGAGGTGGGTGAGGGGGAGGAGGAATATGATGATGTTGATGTGGTGGGGGCGGCGGAGGAAAGGCACGAGGCTGATGTTGATGATGCTGGTGGGGATGGTGAGGAGGATGAGGATGGGGATGAATATCGTGATGGCGGTGCGGAGGAGGGGGAGGTGGATGGGGACGAGAATGAGGATGCGGATGCGGATGATGGTGGTGGTGGGAATGGCAATGGGAGGGATGAGGGAAACGGCGCCACGGACGAGGTCTATAAGGAAGATCAAACGTAGGGGCTCCATGACGAACGGATTCGGGTAGCTCTGACGCCTCGTCCTGTTGCGATGGGACGCACTGTGCAAGTGGGACGCACTGTGCAAGGCCAGGCTCCTCCATCCGGCTGCTGGATGGTCGCGGCTCCTCTCGGTTTTTACTTTCCTGGCCTCTTGAGGTTGTATCAGGTTCTTCAGCGGTTAGCGGGATCTTCGCCTCCTTCTCAGTCTTAGTGCTCGAACCCGAATCTTCAGCTGAAGGCTCTCGGTTTACCACAGCTTCGTCACCCGGCGTCGGATTTTGGAGACTTTCATCCGACAGCTGACTTGCGTCTCTCGCTCCCGTACGGGAACCGAACTCAGTCTCAAAGGCCGAGTATAGTGTGTGTCCCATCTGGCCGAGCTCAGAAGCCATAGTATACAGACTGTCTACTGCCTCTGCAGGTGTGGGAACGTCGGCCCGGAACATGTTGCTGGTTCTCCGATCCCTTGTACTGCTTGCATTGTTCAGTGCGTTGGTCAGATTCCTCATCTGAGCATCCAAGCTCGCAAGAGCTGCCTGGACAGTCGACCCGACGTTTTCTGGCAGGACTCTTTGCGCGTTCTGCAGATGATGCTCTAACTGATGTTCCAACTCTGGCAATCTTGACCTCACTTCGGAGCCAATCATTTCAGCTCCGTTGATCAGGTGGTGCATCGCCTGAGCCAAGGCCACAGCCGGATTTGTGCATCTGCCAGAGCTTGCCGGCTCGTTTGGCACTTCCGTAGAAGAAGGAATCTCTTCTGCATTTTCTCTATTGCGAGGCTCTGAAGCGCTCAGAATCTTGGCCATCTCTGTTTCAAACGCTGCCAAAAGCGGTTCGGAATCCTCATTTGGAGACAGACCAGCATTCGATTCTCTGCCGTCTTGTAAAGGAGGAGCAAAATTGTCCGTTGTCGATTCGACTGCCTTTTTTGTGCCTTCTGTTTCCCGGCCAGCCGGATTATACTCAAATCGCTTCCATAGCTCAGTGACAGAGTTAGATCGGCGAATATCGAAGATGTGCATTGTCTCAGGAATCGCGGAATCTTGTGTAGGGTTTGACTGGATTGGCATATCATATATAGGTTCGTCCAGACGTTGAGAAAGCTCAAGAGATGATCCGACCTAGGAGTATGTGTGTTAAAGACTTGAATGCGTAAATCTGACCAGATCATAACACTTACAGTGATAGTCTCTCCGTCATCATCATCCACGTATGTCAACCGGGCTCGGGGATGAGACAATGCGATCTCATCATAGTCAGAGGCTGAGAGCTGCACAATGCCCGAGCGCCTACAGGTACTGTGACCATGGTCCCTCTGCGGGAGACAGTCGAGAGAGTTGTACGCATCTTCTTGTGTTGGAGATCCATGAAGATCTCTTATCTGAAATGGCTTCAACATGGCTGCTGATAGCCACCGATCGGAGAGTGGTCAATAGAGACACAACTGAGATGGATAACGAAAAATATTGATAGAACAGAAAGAATGGTAGACTAGAAAGAGATGAGAACTACAAGCTTCAAATAGATAGAGATAGCATGGGGGTGCGGCGAGAAGCTGACGAGGCCGCAGCTATGCTGCTGCCTGTGGATGGCAACACAGAAGACCAGAGCTTCTGACTGGCGGCAGATTATCCTTGTTCACTACGACAAAGAGAAGTGAGGAGAATCAAATGATACTGGCTGGACAGGGCTCATGCATAAAATCCATCAAATCATAAAGGCAGAGATGGATAGCAGGCAACAGAATACGCATGTGGTCGGCGTTCGGAGTTTCTGAGGGTAATCAGATAGGCGGGGACAGAGCTAAAGATGCAAGAGCAACACCCCACGAAATAGAGTGAGATAATTATCTGACAGCGCATCTGAACTCTGAAGGTAGTTATGGCATCAGGCAAATTGCTGACTAAGTCCATCCCCGATTGTCGGCTGATGGTGTTCCGAGGGAAGCCCAATAATCCATCAGAACACGGCCAAAACAGCATCAATTGTCAATTGGCCATAGAGCATGCATCTTTAATGCTTGTACAATCTATTATCTTGCATGGGTCAATAGCCTCGGTGTTATAATTTCCAACGCAGGACTCCATTTGACTCGTCTGAACATCATTGTCTTGCACGCTGGAGCTTAACCACACCCTGACGTCGCTTCTCCTCCGAATTCTTCCCAGCAACTGCTACGCAGATGGCTCAGCATCAGAGGAAGCGTCGCATACATAGAATTTCAATTGTCTCTTTCACACAGCCTTGACCTTAATACGTCTCCCATTTCCTCACTCACTCAATGGCCTCTGCCGACGGCGCGTCTCCCCATGTGAAATCCCCGACCGAGCGTAACCTGAAACAGGTTGTACTAGGTGACCTTTTATTCAAGACTTGGTATCAATCGATCTATCCTGAAGATCTTGTGAGCAAGGACACAGACCGTTTATATGTCTGTTGCTGGTGTTTCTGTTACTCGTGCGACGTGAACAGCCATGTAAAGCATATGCGACTTTGCCAACACCGGACAACACCTCCCGGCGCCCAGGTCTATGAACATGGCGGATATTCAGTATGGGAGGTGGACGGAGAAGAACACAAGCTCTATGCCCAAAACCTCTCGCTCTTCGCCAAGTTGTTTCTCGATCACAAGTCCGTATTCTTTGACGTCGCGACTTTTCTGTACTACATCCTCACGTTCACCGATCCTGAGAACCCCGAAAAATACCATATTCTAGGATTTTTCTCCAAGGAGAAACTGTCCTGGGACGCGAACAACCTTGCCTGCATTTTGGTCTTCCCGCCTTACCAACATAAGCAGCTGGGAAAGTTATTGATGGGTGTTAGTTATAAAATCAGTGGCTGGGAAGAAGATGCGGGTTTCATAGGCGGTCCCGAGAAGCCGCTGAGTGATATGGGTACGCGAAGCTATTCCCGCTTCTGGCAAGAACGGATCGGAAGGCGTTTGTTGTTGGACGATACAGATGCTTTTGTACAAGAGACACAGCCCGTCAAAGAGACTCGGAAACGGCATTCAGCAACTTTCATGACCGTCAGGGATATAGGGCAGGCTACTGGGATGCTGACGGAGGACGTGATTACGGCCCTCAGAGGAATGGACATTGTTCAACCTGAGACGCCTTCCAAAAGGCGAAAGGCAAAGCAGGCTGCCGATGAGCCTGATCACTATGCCACAATCCGCAAGTCAGACCTGCTGCGGTGGATGGAAAGTCGCAAAATCTCGCTACAAGATCCGGTCAGGGATGAAAGATTCATCGGCAGATGGGCCCTTAGAGACACGTCTGATGAGAATGATAGTAGCGCGGGTGAAGGGGAGGAAGAAGAAGAAGAAGACGATTCACATACTGCATAATGATGTTTTTACTCTCGTGAGCCTGGTTGATGAGTTCATGAATGATGATAATCAATATTTTCTCGAGTCAGACATTAGATACCTAGACCTGTGTCTTCCCCGGGATATTCAGCTATTGAAAGGAAATGGCTAGAACCAAATGAGATTCTGTGGACTATAGAGACTCAGCACGACAAAGGCTTCAATCATATAATTTACAAATACCCAGCCCAATAGAGTCGTTCAGAACAACAAGATGTAAGGAAAATTCAAAACAAGATAAATCACAAAAGACAAATCAACCCTACAAACGCCGCGACGAATACGCCCTTTTAGTCCCAACATAGAGTGGTGCCCTTAGACCTTCTTCTTCTTCTTGGACGGCTCGGCATCGCTGTCGTGCTTGCGCTTCTTCTTCTCGGATTCGCCTTCGCCAACGTCGGACTTCCGCTTCTTCTTCTTTTCTTCCTTCTCGCTCTTGTCCTTCTTCTCTTTCTTCTCCTTCTTTTCTTTCTTTTCCTTCTTCTCCTTCTTCTCAGCCTTGTCATCGACGTCCTGCATCTCCTTGTCGCTGTCATCAGCGTCGATGTCCATCTCAGCCAGAACGGCATCCATGGCAGATTTCTGTGATGGTCAGTGACTTGCCCATATAGGATCTTCATCGAGGAAACCCAACTTACCATGGCAACTTCGTTCTTAGTAGGGGGTGCGCCAGAAGCATAAAACTCCAGGCGTTCTTCAACCTGCTTCTTCAGGACTTCACCGAACTTGGTCGAGGGTTCCTCGGAGAAGTTATCGATTCTGGAAGCGATAGAGCACTTGTTTGCAAGGAATCGCGAGATTCTGCCCTTGTTCTTGGGGCCAGCTCGGCCAATGAAAGAAGAGTGGTACAGCAGTCCGTACTTGGGCGTGTTTCCCTTGGTCTTCAGAGCTCTGAAAAGAGCCTTCTCCGCGCCGAGAATCTGCACGGTGGAAGCGGGATACTTGGACAAGTTGGTCAAGCTTCCGGCATGCGAAATCAGACGAGCGCCAACGATCTCTCCGATCAACGCAGCAAGGTTAGGAGCGACGACGCTCATCTTGGAAACCAAGTAAGCGTGCAGCGACTTGCGGTACTTGGAAAGGCTGACAACTCTTTGTGCGAACGCAATGACGTTCTCCATGTCCGACTCAGATATTTCCTGGCCCATGCTGTGCTTGGCAGCATCAATAATGCTCTGTGCAACACCTTCATCATCCTCCACAAGAGCAGCAAGATCGTGCAAGCTCTCATCAGTCAGAGTCTTTTTATCCTTGACAAAGAGTGCAATCTGAGCGTAGCGCTGGTTATCCGAAACGATCTTGACAAGTTCGGGGAAGTGCCACGAGTACCACTCTCTCACTCTCATAGAGAAAGTGTTGATGGCCTTGTCGAGTTGGTCCAAAATTGCAATAGCCTGAATAATGTGGTTGTCGTCACGCTGAACGGAGAACTTGACCTTAGCGCGGGAGTAGGCGTGACCGAGACCAAGCTGGGCAGTATCCATATCACCCTCACGGAGCTGCTTTAGCAACTTAGTGGCATGCAGCCTGATACCACGAAGCATATCTTGCACAACTTCACTGGTGTCTCCAGTCTCGCAATCGACGAAAGGGAACGCCGATTTGATACTTGAAGCCAGCGCCTTGTCAGCAAGTCCGAGAACGATCTTCTTCTTTTTGCTGGCCTTTGGAAGGTTCAATTCGAGAAAGTTGATAAGAGTGTCAGAAGCGACACCTTCCGAAACATCGTTGATTTCGCTGAGAGCCTGCTTGTTGTTTCTAGAGTTTGTCAGCATATACGCATTTCGGCTTGAAGGAGAAAAAATTGAATAGATGGTCAAAAACATACTCAAACGGCAGGAAACTGGCGAGTTCAACCATCTTGCCGAACTTTGCAAGGTCATCCACACCATCTTGAACTTCCTTCAAGCGATTTCCAACGCTGTCTCCCTGGTGAGCGACTTTGAAGATTGAGTAACCCATAGGGCCCTCGAACAAAAGGTAGTCGGCCATGGCGAAATCGTCTTAATTTCCTCAAATTACACGAAAGAAGTCTGTTAATTGAGCCGAGTACCCAAGCCCACTGCGCAGTCACCGGTCACCTGCGATTGCAGCCTTGTTATGTCCCGACGTGGAGTTGAAAAAGGGCTGAAGGGCTGGAAGGTGGATTTGGGGAGTCCGAACCGTCAGAGCTCTTTTTTTTCTTTCGCGGCGACGCTAGTGCGAACATCGAATGTGGGCTTTTTGCCAAAACTCAGGCTCACCGCATTCGCCGGGCCTACCAGCAGTTTGTGCCAACGCGGGTTTCTTTTTTGGGCGACCAATATCAACAGGGGTTATTTTTCTTTTGAGTATTCCCGCGTGCTCTTTTGTTGTCTGTTATCGATTTCAATCTGCAGGGATGTCTGCAACTCAGCTACTGAACCCCAAAGCCGAGTCGAGGGTATGGGAAAAGCTCCGGACTGCCCCTCAATTATCTAGACACACACTGACACCGCACAGCGGAGGGCGGAAGCTTTGAAAGTGAACATTAGCGCTGGTGAGGGTCTTCAGGATGTCTTGAAGTCCAATTTGGGTCCCTCAGGCACTCTAAAGATGTATGTTTCCACCTTTGAAATGGTCCATAATGACAACGTACTGACACGAAGTAGGTTGGTGGATGGTGCTGGCGGAGTATGGACCACTCCTCTTTGAATGAAGAATACATTATCTGACGGCGGTCCCATACAGATCAAGTTGACTAAGGATGGCAATGTGCTCTTGCGAGAGATGGTAGGTTATGCTCTGTAATGTTTTGTGAAGCCATGCTAACTGACGCAGCAAATCCAAAACCCAACAGCCGTAAGCTACCCGCGATTCGAACTCGAATACCACTTTTTACTTACACGAACAAGGTTATGATTGCCCGCGCCGCTACAGCACAAGACGATATTACCGGTGATGGAACGACGTCCGTCGTCCTGATGGTCGGAGAGCTCTTGAAGCAGGCTGATCGGTATATCTCCGAGGGGCTGCATCCCAGAGTTATCACGGATGGTTACGAGATTGCCAAGAATGAAGCTCTCAAGGTCGGTATTGAATAGAAATACCTTAATTCGTTCGACAAGAGGCTGATATATTCGTTGTATAGTTCCTCGACCAGTTTAAGATTGAGCGCAACATTGACCGTGAATTGTTGCTCTCTGTTGCTCGGACGTCGCTTGCCACGAAACTGAACAGCGCCCTTGCTGAAAAGCTTACACCGGATGTCGTCGATGCAGTCCTTGCCATTCACCGAGCCCCTGAGAAACCCGATTTGCACATGGTTGAGATCATGACCATGCAACACCGGACGGCGTCTGACACACAGCTCATCCGTGGTCTCGCTTTAGACCACGGTGCAAGACACCCTGATATGCCTAAGAGAGTTGAGAATGCTTTCATCCTGACTCTGAACGTCAGTTTGGAATATGAAAAGTCGGAAATCAACTCTGGTTTCTACTACTCCTCGGCCGAGCAGAGGGACAAGCTGGTGGAGAGCGAGCGCAAATTCGTGGATGCTAAGCTGCAGAAGATCGTGGAACTGAAGAAGCAGGTTTGCGGTACTGACCCCAAGAAAGGTTTTGTCGTGATCAATCAAAAGGGTATTGATCCTCTGAGCTTGGATGTCCTCGTCAAGAACGGAATTCTGGCTCTCCGGAGAGCTAAACGGAGAAACATGGAACGACTCCAGCTGATTTGCGGTGGTGTTGCTCAGAACAGTGTGGATGACCTTACTCCTGATGTTCTCGGATGGGCCGGCCTGGTTTACGAACACCAGCTCGGAGAAGAGAAGTACACGTTTGTCGAAGAGGTCAAGGACCCCAAGTCTGTTACCATTCTCATCAAGGGGCCCAACCAACACACTATCGCTCAGGTCAAGGATGCAGTCCGCGACGGCTTACGGTCTGTCTACAACACCATCGTCGATGGCTGCGTTGTTCCTGGTGCTGGCGCTTACCAAGTCGCTTGCGCTCATCACCTGTCATCTGAAGGTGTTCGGAAGTCCGTCAAAGGCAAAGCCAAGTGGGGTGTTGCTGCTTTTGCTGATGCCCTTCTGGTTATTCCCAAGACCCTGGCTGCCAATTCAGGCCACGACATCCAGGATTCCCTGGCTGCTCTACAGGATGAGCGTGCAGAAGGTAATGTGGTCGGGTTAGATTTGACGACGGGAGAGCCCATGGATCCGGTGCAGGAGGGTGTCTTCGATTCTTACCGGGTCTTGCGTAACTGCATCGCATCGAGCACCGGTATAGCCTCTAACCTACTCCTGTGTGACGAACTGCTCAAGGCCAGACAAATGAGCAAACAAGGTGGGCCTGGTGGCATGGATGAGTAATGCAGATATTACGTGTAAAGGGCTACAAGAGACATGTCATGCTTGCAAGATCGCAGCAATTATGCCTAAAATGTACTCAAATAAATTCAATAATTATCACTTGAACCTCTTGACCTCGTATTACTCAAACTTCATCTGCTTGAAGCGACCTTTGAGAGATGAATGCCTTTCCAAGTCATGAACTCAGCATACCGCAATGATCATTATTATCTAAAGGCTTGTCAGTGAATACACAACCAGTTTCTGCTTGGAACCAGTGAAATATTAGTGATTTGTGACTGAGGAATAGATAAAGCATGCCTACCTTACCATAAGGTACCTTATATCTCCCTTAGTAAGGCAATCTAGATTTAACTTCCGTCCAATGATGAACCTCCCCTCGCCCTTCCCCCTTCCATCAGACATCATGCCGGTCCAAGCCCCCATGTCCCCCTCAGTGATACAAAGGATGGCTTCACCTGACCCTTCTTCTTCAACAGTCAGATAGACAGGACGAAGGAGCCAGAGGGTTGGAGGGTTGCTTTGGACCTGTTATAAAGGGTTCCTGGCTGCTACCTACCTCAGCAAAGGAATGCCCCCACTTCCGCTCTCAGATCAGCCCCGCGATAATAATGCTCCCGAGTCGGCCGACGATGTTAATCGGCTCCCCTAACCGCAAGCGAGAATCGTCGGACTCAGGCTGCGACAGCCCACCAGCTTCCCACTTCTCACCAGCCTCGATTGCGAGCCATCAGGAAGCGAGACTCCTCGAGGAAGAGGATCTAGGGAGGCACAGCCCTCGTGCCGCAGTTGCCGGTCGCCTAGGAGCACTGGCCATTCACAGTGAAAATAATTCAAGTCTGTCTAATTCGGATGCAAGTCTATACAAGGACCCATTCGTAGACTCACTTCGCACGAAATGCTGGGTTGACTCATACAACGGTCTTCATGACATGGCTGAGAATACTTCTACTGAACCCAGCGATTTTGGCTCCAATGGGTCTTCTGAAGGGAATGGCCATCTTGGTAATGCAAATTCTGCTGCATCGGCTTCAGCTTCAGCTTCAAACGTCAAGAAAAAGTCGCTTTCGAGCCCCCGTAAGAGAAAAGCCACCTCGAATGACACATCAAGGATGCGTCATAAGCAGGGTTCGCCGTCTCCTGACAGCACAATGGAGGACAACCCACTTACATGGAATGATTCTGAAATAACTGGTCACGACCCCAAAGATCCAACTGATGACGGATATGGCATCAACGGCATCGGTTTCAAGCCTACTGCAGCAATCGCTTGGGCCAGAGCGCAAAAACGACAAAAGCAGGTGGCTGAATGGAAATCTCGAGAAGCAAGAGAAGCGCGCGAAAAGCGAAGAGAAAGACGTGACGGTCACGAATTTGATAAACTTCGCTCGATCCAGAGTGGCACGATTCAGAAGAGGGTCAAATTCAATCTCTGAAATTATTCAGTTCCAAACTGCATTTAGCTGGACTGGCGTTTTGGCTTTCTCTCATTTCTTCTCGTTTTGACTGGCGAATGGAGTTGAATAAGCGATGATGCATATTTTTTTCTCTTGGATTGATCATATTGGTCGCCATTCGAATGACCGCAACGCTGGAAATCGCTCTTCTAGAAATATGTACTCCGTACTTTATATGCTATTTTACATTACACCACTAGTGACATCCCAGAAACTCCGTGACTCCCAACATTGTGCCGCGCCATATGTCTACCAGAACTTATAATTCGATAGGTTCGTCCAGCTCTTCCTTTTCTTCTCTTCTTCGGCTAAGCGGGCAGCCTCTTCCGCCATCTGCTTTTCCTTCTCTCGTTGTTTCTTGAGCTTCAGTTCCTTCATCAATTCCACTGCTTGCTTCATGCCGTCCAACTCCTGGACTCGTCGCCGCTGGCAGAATTCGTGGGCTGCGAGGGAGGTGATAGCGAACGCCCCAACGGCCCAGTTGCAGGCAGTCCATATTGAGCGCACGCCTAAGTACAAGCCACAGTTAGTTACGAGACCCGTCTGTTGGTTCGCTTCATTGTAAAGACTCCAGCTTACCCCCTAATACACCTCTCAACCCACCGATACCGAATCCGGCACCGATCCCTAGCAATAATGAATCCCGAGCGCATGGAGCTTTATAGAATGATGTGACTTCTTTCAAAGACATTGATTTCACGGCTTCAGTGACCGAGACGTCGTTCGCATCCTTCTTCGCCCCATTGTAGCCTGTATTTGACAATACGTTTGCCGATTCTTCTGGATTGCCAAACGCCTCCCATAACTTTCCGACCTGCGACTTTGGGAGCTCGTACTTTGTCTTTTTTCGTGACGATGAAGAGTCTTCGAAGGCTGTCTGTTCGTTTGCGCCCGCGACAGGAATATGTGAGGTAGGGTCCCGAGTATCGTCGGCCATCTTCTGAAACTATAATTCTCGCTCGAATAAGAGAATATTCAACAAGCTTATGACTTCGTTGACATGGGCAGAAGAAGTGCGGAACGACGGTTATACCGGATCAACCCATGATCCGAAATCTATAGACTTTTAGACAAATCAGGCTAGCTCTTCCGGCAGCCCCAGCACTCTAAAAGAGGCTTGACGGCACGCGTAAAGTAGAAACGCGAACGCGTCGAAATCGGAAAACAGGGCAAAATTAGCAACTGGGCAGCGGGCAGTGGTCAAGTCAATGGACTTATACATGCTTACTTCGATATAACCAACCCATTGACGGATATCTCACACAGCTATGCTCAGATACTCGCTGCATTGGTCTTAATTTCGGGTTCCATGCTCATCAACGATCTATTTGTTTGATAATTGATATTCGGTCCCAACCGCGGGCCTCGCCGCCGCTATGCCTACGCGACAACCCAGCAAGTATGGCAACAAGTTCCGGTCCAGTTCTGCGAGCTTCAAGCCCAAACGTACAAAGACAGTCGAATTTTCGTCGTTAAGGTCGACCGAAGCTACGTCCCAAGATGAGAAATTCGAGGCGGTTCGACTGGCGAACAGCATCGACGAAGCCTTGGGTTTCCCGCGCTTCGAATCCGGCGAGAAGAGGGTCGGCTGGCTCATCAATATGCATAGCACCTCGATAGAAGATCCGAATGTTCCTGGAGGACGTGCTGGGGTGGATTACTATTTTTTGGAGGATGGAGGTGGTAGCTTCAAGGCGACGGTGGAGTACGATCCGTACTTTCTCCTCGCTGTGAAGAAAGGTCATGAAGCGGAAGTCGAAGAATGGTGCCGGAGGATGTTCGAGGGACTGATCAAGAAGATAAAAAGGATAAAGAAGGAGGATCTCCAGTTGCCGAACCATTTACTCGGGCATCGTCGAACGTTCCTTCAGCTCAACTTTGCAAATGTGAGCCATCTACTGGACGTTCGTAAGACGCTGCTTCCACTGGCAGAGAAGAACAAGAAAAATGTGAATGTAATGGATACTTATGCAGAGATTTCCAGGTTTGTTTTGTCCCGAGGAGCGATATGGTTCTGTTGACTTGATATGAAGCTAATCCTTCCAGCGCAAATGCCGGATTCGATCTCTTTGATGATGAACTGATTAACGAGTCACGACCTAACGGCAATATGAATGCGAGTGATTATATTATTGATATTCGAGAATATGATGTTCCCTACCATGTTCGGGTGGCAATCGACAAAGGTGGGCAACTAACTCTCCATATTTGGCAATAAACAACGACTGACAGACCCAAAGATATCCGAATTGGAAAATGGTACACCGTTGAAGCGAAGCACGGTGTTATCTCCTTGACCTGCCTAGAAGAACGACTTCAGCGTGCTGATCCAGTGATTCTCGCCTTCGATATCGAAACGACAAAATTACCGCTGAAGTTCCCCGATTCTGTGATCGACCAGATAATGATGATTTCCTACATGATTGATGGCCAAGGATTTCTGATAACGAATCGAGAGATAGTGTCCGAAGATATTAACGATTTTGAGTATACACCCAAGCCCGAGTACAGCGGGCCATTTATGATTTTCAACGAGCCTAATGAGCGAAGCGTCATCGAGCGCTTTTTCGAGCACATCAAAGAAGCAAAGCCGACGGTCATTGCCACATACAACGGTGACTTTTTCGATTGGCCATTCGTCGAAGCTAGAGCGAGCGTGCTTGGAATTGACATGTACAAGGAGATCGGCTTTCGCAAAAACAGCGAGGATATCTACCAAAGCGACCACTGTGTGCATATGGATTGCTTTGCCTGGGTGAACCGTGACAGTTACCTTCCTCAAGGAAGCCGTGGTTTGAAAGCTGTCACTGTTGCGAAGCTTGGTTACGACCCTGACGAGCTTGATCCAGAGCTGATGACTCCTTATGCAAGCGAACGCCCCCAAACTTTGGCTGAATACTCAGTTTCAGATGCCGTGGCGACATATTATCTGTATATGAAATACGTGCACCCGTTCATCTTCTCGCTTTGTACAATCATTCCACTCAACCCTGATGACACGCTGCGGAAAGGAACCGGAACACTCTGTGAAATGCTGCTAATGGTGCAAGCATACAAGGGCGAAATTGTACTTCCAAACAAGCACAAAGATCCCCCGGAGTCGTTCTACGAGGGCCATCTTCTGGAATCAGAGACCTATGTCGGTGGTCACGTCGAAAGTATCGAAGCAGGTGTATTTCGAAGCGATATCCCTGTCACATTCAATATCGATACCACTGCTATTGACGAACTACTCCGAGATCTCGATGCGGCATTGAAATTTAGTATTGAGGTCGAAGAGAAGAAATCCATGGACGATGTGGTAAATTATGAGGAAGTCAAGGCACAGATCGCAGAACGCTTGGTCAATCTCAGGGAGAAGCCACACAGGGACGAGGTCCCTTCCATTTACCACTTGGACGTTGCTTCCATGTATCCCAATATCATGATCACCAACCGATTGCAACCGGACTCCATGATCCAGGAATCTGATTGCGCTGCTTGCGACTTCAACAGGCCTGGGAAGACGTGTGACCGGAGATTACCGTGGGCTTGGCGTGGTGAGTTCCTACCAGCCAAGCGGGACGAATACAACATGATCAGACAAGCTGTTGCAAATGAGCGGTTCCCTGGGCGAACTAAGAACAGCCCGATGAGGTCCTTTGGCGAGATGAGCGTCGAGGAACAAGCTGCCATTATCAAGAAGCGCCTTCAAGATTATAGCAAAAAGATTTATCACAAGATTCATGATAGCAAAACCATTGTGCGCGAGGCAATCATCTGCCAACGTGAGAATCCTTTCTATGTGGACACTGTTCGCAGCTTTCGTGATCGACGGTACGATTTCAAAGGAAAGCAGAAAGTCTGGAAAGGGAAGACTGAAGCCCTCAAAGCAGCAGGTGCTTCTGCTGCGGAGGTTGAAGAAGCAAAGAAGATGATTGTGCTGTTCGACTCATTACAACTTGCCCACAAAGTCATCTTGAACAGTTTTTATGGTTATGTCATGAGAAAGGGATCTCGGTGGTACTCGATGGAAATGGCCGGTGTGACGTGTCTTACTGGCGCTCATATTATCCAAATGGCAAGAGAGCTCGTTGAACGTATCGGCCGGCCACTGGAACTCGACACCGACGGTATTTGGTGTATGCTCCCAGGAAGTTTTCCCGAGGATTTCTCGTTCACTCTGAAGAACGGCAAGAAGCTTGGTATATCATATCCCTGCGTCATGCTAAATCACCTCGTGCATGGCAAATACACCAATCACCAGTACCAGACACTTGTCGACCCGAAGACGTTCCGATATGAAACGCATAGCGACAACTCTATCTTCTTTGAAGTCGATGGCCCTTACAAAGCGATGATCCTCCCCACGTCGAAAGAAGAAGATAAGAACTTGAAGAAGCGCTATGCTGTTTTCAATCATGATGGATCCTTGGCTGAATTGAAGGGCTTCGAAGTCAAGCGAAGGGGAGAGCTGAAGTTGATTAAGATATTTCAGACTCAAATCTTCCGCTTCTTTTTGGAAGGATCCACCCTGGAAGAAACATATGCTGCTGTCGCTCGAGTCGCTGATAGATGGCTAGATGTCCTCTATGAACATGGCGCAACACTGGCTGATGAGGAGCTTATTGAACTCATTTCTGAAAATAGGAGCATGACAAAGACTCTGGAAGAATATGGGAATCAGAAGTCAACATCCATCACGACGGCACGGCGGTTAGCAGAATTCCTGGGAGAGCAGATGGTGAAGGACAAGGGTCTCAACTGCAAGTACATCATCTCTGCGAAGCCAAGGAACACACCTGTCACCGAGCGAGCCATTCCAGTGACGATATTCTCAGCGGAAGAGCCAGTCAAACGATTCTTTTTGAGGAAATGGTTGAAAGACGATCCCGGAGATATGGATCCTCGAAGCGTCATCGATTGGGACTATTACCTCGAGCGATTGGGCTCCGTTGTACAGAAACTGATCACCATTCCCGCTGCTCTTCAGAAAGTCCGCAATCCAGTCCCCCGAGTAGCCCACCCTGACTGGCTCCAACGGCGGATCAATATGAAGGAGGACAAGTTCAAGCAGACAAAGATGACCGATATGTTTGGGAAGACAGAAAAGAACCCACTTTCCGACATCTCAACAAACATCCTGGATCATCGTGTCCAGCATCACGGCGACATTGGGGAAGCTGTTGCGAATTCGACGCAGAAACTGAAGTCGTCACCGAACGGCAAGATCTCACAGAAAAGAAAACACCCTGAGGGTCTGACAAAGACCTTGCTTGATCCTTTTGCCAGCCTTCCAGCCAAAATGCCTTCGTTGAACGACGACTACGTTGAATTCTTGAAGTATCAGAAGCAAAAATGGAAAATTCAGAAGCAAGCTCGAGCTCGCCGTCGCCAGCTCTTCGGAGAACGCGTAAACGTGGCAACTGATTCTTTAAGCAATCTCTTCAGGAATCAAGCAGAGCTGCTGTACATTAATACGTGGCAAGTTCTTCAGCTCTGTGAAACAGGTAGACCTGGCATTGTCCGGGCATTCGTCTTGATTGACCGGAAAGTCCATGCCCTTACAGTCAAGGTTCCCAGACAGATCTACGTCAATCTGAAACGGGACTCTCTGCCAGATGTTGATGTTCCAGACTGTGAGGTGGAAAAGGTCAATCACACTTTGCCCAACGGACATCCTTCGGTTCATCTATTCAAATTGACATTGTCCGAAGACACATACCTGCGAGAAACAGACAAAATAGACGCTCTTCTCCAACACCCCAGCATCGAAGGAGTCTACGAGAAAAACATCCCTCTGAGTGTCCGCGCTGTTTTAAAGCTGGGCAGTGTATGCACCTTCGATGAAGAACAACGCGGAGTTCTTGGTGAGGGATTAGATCGAGGATTCAATCTCTCGACGTTATGCCATACAACTCCTGATGAACCTTATCTTCTGAACTCACCCTTGGTTTACCATTACCTCTACCATGTCCTCTCGGGTGATAGGCAGATATTCGCTTTGTTTTCGACCACAAAGAGCGAAGCACACATTGTTATCCTCAATCGCACGAGGGATGTTCAAGGCCTGCCGAACGTTGACAAGATATACACAGAGCTTCGTGCGCGCACAATGGAAAATATGGGAGGAGACCAGTCCCAGAACGCGTTCGAATATCAGGAGAAGATTCATTTCAAGACCACCCAAGTGACGACTAGGAGGAAGGCGTATCTGGAGATTGGAGACTTGATCAAGAAACTCAAAGGCGAAGAAACTCAGCCCGCCATCATGGTCATACAATCCCATCAAAGACACCGCCTGTGCCATGATATTCCCATCTTGAAAGAGTACCCGGTTCTTCCGGTAAAGCCCGAAGTGTCGGATATGGACCTTCCACCTTTGGGCTGGCAATCATTTATTGCTAAGCGACTGGTGACGCACTACTTGTATCTTGCTTCTTGGATTCAACACTTGACCATGCTGGCTAGATATGGTGACGTACCTCTTTGCAATCTCGAGAATGACGATCCTCGGTATCTCATTGATATCTCATATGCAAGACGACTCCAACAAAACAATGTTGTCCTCTGGTGGTCTAATGGTCCAAGACCTGATCACGCGGGTTACGAGAAAGACGATGTTACAGGCCCCCTGGAGAGAGTTTCGATGCCGTCAGTCAACGTGCCCAGCGCATATAACACTGTCTGCATTGAATTGGAGGTTCGTAACCTCTCAATTAACACCATTTTGACCTCCTCGATCATCAATGAAATGGAGGGGGCAGACACTCTTCTGGCATCGTCAGAGCCCTCAGCGGACGCAAATGGCTCTGGCGTTCTCTACTCGGAGAAGGCATTTGCTTCAGCTGGCGCCGTCGTGCTCCGCGAAATGGTGAAGCATTGGTGGTCAGAGGCTTGTGAAGGGAATAATATGGCCGATATTATGGTGCAGCATTTGATTCGATGGGTTGAGAGCCCGGTTTCATGTCTCTATGATCGATCATTGCACAATTATGTGCGCATGCTGTCCAGGAAATCATTTCAGCGGCTCATGGCTGAGTTCAGGCGTGTCGGTTCAAATGTCATATTTGCGAGCCCTACCCGTCTTTTGCTCCAGACTACGAAGACAGAGGTGGGAAACGCATATGCATATAGCCAATATGTCCTGAAGTCCATCCGCGCGAATCCGTCATTCCATTTTATCGATCTTGAGATCAAAGAGTACTGGGATTATCTCGTTTGGTACGACGAATACAATTATGGTGGCAAGGGATGCCGAGAAGTAACCGGATCGGAGGACCAGGAGCTCGAGACTGTGATGCATTGGCAGCTTAGTCGCTTTCTACCAGCTCCCATGCAAACGATTTTCCATGATTGGGTTGTGGAGTATATCGAACTCATGCATGTTCTCAAACGGCCCGATTCTGATGATTCATCTACACCTCGTCTTACACAGATTCCAATTGGGCACCATAATGAAGATAATGACGAAATTACGTCAATCCTGGCGGAAAAGTTCTCAAAGCCTCTCAAGAAGCAGATCTCCGGCCTCATTCGGCGTCAACGAGATGAACTGCTTCATCCGGAGCTGGCATCCGACTACGTCTTCCCCGTCCTTCCTGGAGTCCTAGTGGATCCCAACAACGACAAGCGCAACCCTGTTCTTGAACTCGTCAAATTGTTGATGCAGGTTTTGAGTCTGTCGAAGACCACAACTCTAGAGACTCGGCTGCTGCGTCGGGAGCTCTTAGCGATGTTCGAAGTACGTGAGTTCAGCAAAGAAGGCCGGTTCGAGAATCCAGGGGCAAGTCTGAAGCTTCCTGAGCTTTCCTGCAATGCCTGCTGTCTGATCCGTGATTTGGACCTGTGCCGGGACGAAGATGTGCTCCCAGAGATCGGGTCAGACCCAAACAAAGCAGCGCCCAAGCCTTGGCGGTGCCCTTTCTGCCAAACAGAGTACGATCGACTAGCACAGGAAGAGGCCCTCATCGGCCAAGTTCAGGGATTGATTGTCGGTTGGCAGACACAGGACCTCAAATGCTCCAAGTGCGGGGGTCTCAAGATCAGCGATTTCATGGAACATTGCTCATGCAGTGGTCACTGGGTGGAAACAATGGACCGAAAAGAGGTGGAGAAGAAGCTTCTTCTTTTGAACAGCGTAGCCAAATTTCATGGCTTGAAGCTCCTGGAAAGTGTTGTGCAGGGTGTCCTTGAGCAAATGTAATGCTTTTCTCCTATTTCTCCCTATCCCTTATGTTTTCTGTTGACTGTTGACTGTTCAAACTATATACTCTGTGTTGGCTATACCAGGGCATTGCGGGGCGTGATAGGGTCATTTGGAAAGGCGTTCTTACACCTCAGGCAATAGTGATCTAATTAGCGATCAATAATATGTTAACACTCCGGTAGAGTATCTCTGGGCTTGAAGTTGCATAAATTGTGAGATCAATTGACTGAAGTAAGAAGATTCACCGCATAAGTTTCTCTCTGAATTGTGCAGTCCACACTTCCATAAGCCGTAGTGGACCGCCGATGTGCTGAAAGTTAATCACGTTGTCAGCTGAACCTACAGATATCAGTTCAAAGCTTCTCTTCCATTCCCCAAGGCCCTCTGGCTTATCGCAAAGTCCTCAAATTCCTAAAGAGGCCTACTTCGCATATCTTGGTTCGAATAAAAGCTACAGATACTTAATTACAGGTCTCGCGAGAAGCCCTATTCTTTGTGATACATCTATTGTACTCCGTAACCCCGCAATTACTTTCAGAGGTGCGAAACAGCCCACCGATTGCGATAAGAAAGCTTTTACCAACAACACCCACACCTCATCTTGGCCGTGGGTTTGGAAGGCTTCTTGTCTTAGCGGATAGGTTTCTGGGAGTCCATGCAGTGATTGCTTTTCGGTTAGTACTCTCGCTTGTTTCTCGGTCTACTGTTCTGACACTTCTCACAATCGACCAGTCATAATAATATCAGCGCCCGTCCTCTTTGATTGCGCCGAAGAAAGCTTCTGACAAACCGTCCTACTGGTTTCCTTACATCTGTCATCCGGATCGCGGTACGGTTTTACGCTCGATGGCCTCGCAAACGCAGACGGGTCAACGACCCAAGGTCCAGCCTTGCCGGTACAAGACTGGGAAAACACTCGGAGCTGGCTCCTACTCAGTGGTGAAGGAATGCGTACACATCGATACTGGTCGCTACTACGCAGCGAAAGTGATTAATAAGCGGTTAATGGCCGGTCGTGAGCACATGGTATTTACCTCTGAACCTGAAACGCGGCCTCTAAGGTCAGCATGGACATCGAGCGGGGGCTGATGTGTGGCATGGTATAATGACAGGTTAGGAATGAGATTGCGGTGCTGAAGAGAGTCTCCATGGGTCATCAGAACATTCTGACTCTAGTTGATTACTTCGAGACCATGAACAATCGTATGGCTACCCCTGCTGCTCGGTCCAGGTTCTCAGTCTGACAGTGTCTTTGTGATGTTACAGTATACCTCGTCACAGAGCTTGCTCTGGGTGGAGAGCTGTTTGACCGCATCTGTCGTAAAGGCAGCTATTACGAGTCCGACGCGGCTGACCTCATCCGTGCGGTCCTCTCCGCGGTGGCTTATTTGCACGATCATGGTATTGTGCATCGTGATTTGAAACCTGAGAACCTGCTGTTCCGGACACCGGAGGACAATGCGGATCTGCTAATTGCGGACTTTGGCCTGTCCAGGATCATGGACGAGGAGCAGTTCCATGTCCTCACCACGACCTGTGGCACGCCAGGTTATATGGCTCCTGAGATCTTCAAGAAGAGTGGACATGGAAAACCAGTGTACGTTTGTGTCCGTTTCTTACATCTCCCCAATCTGAATTCTATGACTGACTTTCCGGTAAGGGACATCTGGGCCATTGGTGTCATCACTTACTTCCTCCTCTGCGGCTACACTCCCTTCGATCGTGACTCCAACCTGGAAGAGATGCAGGCCATCCTTGCAGCCGACTATTCTTTCACGCCTCTCGAGTACTGGCGGGGTGTTTCCCAATCAGCCCGAGACTTCATCAAGCGTTGTCTGACAGTCGACCCCAAGGCCCGAATGACTGCCCATGAAGCCCTTCAGCATCCCTGGATCAACCCGCCCTATGATCTCAATGATGACGGTGGCTCGGGCGAGGACTTGTTGCCCACAGTCAAGAAGAACTTCAATGCTCGTCGAACGCTGCACAAAGCCATCGATACTGTCCGCGCCATCAACAAGCTCCGCGAGGGAGGAGGACTCATGATGGATGGTGTCATGAGCCTTGATCCCAAGCCGGAGCATGTCAATGGCAACGAGGTTACCGAGGAGCAACATGATGGACGGATGGAGATTGACAGCCGCGGCGACGCGCGTGGGCAAACTGAGGAGCAGATTCGGGAGCAGGAGCGAAGGGTCAAGGAAACTGTGGCTGGATTGTGGAGTAGGTCCGCGAAGAAATGAAACAGCTTCGCGACTTGCTCAACACCAGAATCTGTGGGCGGCCACTGTGCTCATTGGGGGTTTTACGGGCTCTACGTGGGAAAATACCATCGACGTTTTGAACTTTGCATTTTGTTGATACGCATGTCTAGTCGGATACCAAACATTATACCTCTCTAGGTTGCGTCGCTCTTACTTCACGACTGTGTTCATAGCATGTGAGCCGTTAGCAAACGATCAACAGGTCTCAGAAATATATATGCGCAGTGGGGCCTGCTCATCTGCAAACCTCCAAAAAGCTAGACTCTTCACTATGTTTTCGGGCAAAATCTCTGCAAGAAGGCAAAGCTGTGGCAATAGATTAGGGGAAAGATCCCAACTAGTGGCAGATTCTTGAATCTGAAGAGTGGTTTAGCTACCAAACATTGTATCCACATGAATAGCAAAAGTTATAGTGGAGTTGCTGGGATGTCTAGATCCAATAAGGGATTGTAAATATCACATGACGTTCTGATCATCTGATAAGGGAGTCTTATCACGTGTTATCTTATCGGGCATTTGCCCTCTTCCCCTCCTTCGCTGACCTCTCCCTCTACTCACTCTCCCTACAGCCGATCAACAGCTGAGTGACTTGCTTTCCGTGTCCTCAGTGCTGTTATCTATAGCAGTTCCGATACCCACCTCTGACCACAGCACGCTGAGCCCATGTGAAACATTATCGAGACTGCGTTCGCCAAGGTACCTAGAAGTGGGTAGTTTCCTGGTGGACCGAGCCATTTACTCCTGGTAACTGTCTCCTGCTCTTCCTTTGCAAGCTGGCCGACAGTTACCAATCCTTGAAGCCAGTGGATTGCTTTTGCAGAAGTGAGGGTTGAACGGAGTTTACATTGCTTTGGACATCGCAAGATGGCAAGTCCAGCCCATTGCATCTACTGCTTTGAGTGCCTTGCTGCCTCTTATAAACGCCATGAGCCCATCGATCTTGCAGCTGTTGAGGAGCTGTGGGAGCGATACGAGCAGTCCAAAAAGCCTGCGTCTCTTCAGGACATTAATAACACTGTTTCTCAAAGGGATAGTGCCGACCTTGGACGGGAGGTCGTAGTGGAGGAGGAGGAGGAGGACGATGACGATGATGCTGACGAGGAACTCGACACAACGCAGCGCAGCTCCATGAAGTCGAAGAGTAGCCGTCCACACTCTATCAAGCTGCCCAGTGTCAGTCGCCTTCAAAGCCAATTGTCTTCGGACTCCTCGAGCGTCTCTACTACTCCGTCAGTCATGTCCACCAATTCATCTCGCTCGATTCTATCCAGCTCCACTGCCGCCACGACCCCGATTTCAGAATCTACGCAACCTGAGATGGCAGAGATGCGGCAACAAAGGTTAAAAAACCAACGTTATCCATTGTTTGTGACGTGGAATACTCTGTCGAAGAACGGCCACAAGTCCCTCCGTGGATGTATTGGTACATTCGATGCGCAGGAGCTCGCTGAAGGCCTCAGAGCCTATGCTCTTACTTCGTACGTATCCTTTGCTTGAACGAAGTCCTCGTTGGTTTCTCGAGGCTAACACTGAAACACAGCGCGTTCGAGGATTCTCGTTTCACTCCGATCCCACAGTCGCTTCTACCATCATTATCATGTTCGCTGACTCTGCTCGGTTCCTTTGAGCCCTGCACCAATGCTCTGGATTGGATACTTGGTGTGCATGGTATCCGCATATCTTTCATTCACCGCGGCCGGCGCTATGGCGCCACTTATTTGCCCGATGTAGCCCTAGAGCAAGGTTGGACGAAAGAGGAAACCCTGGAAAGCCTGATGCGGAAAGCTGGCTGGGACGGAGTGACCACGGGGGGTGTTGCACGGCGGCTCTTAAGAGGAAGCAGCAACAGCGGCCACTCTGGCTCCAGCAAGCCATGGGAGCAGGTCTCAGACTTTCGCGTCGTGAAATATCAGGGTCTCAAGGCTAGTGCCAGCTATGCGGAATGGCAAGAATGGCGGGAATGGGTCATGTCCGTGAAGGACGGGAGCGCAGAATTGTTGTGCCCGACCACTTGATGATCCACTTACGATTGGTACGATCTACCTCACGAATGCGGTGTCTGCGCTGGCAGACATTCGCTAATGATGAGTTTCACCGAAATAATGAGCAATGTGTTTTATGAGGATCTTGATAAAGGCGCCTTTTAGCTATTTTTGGTTTTGGAAGTATCGAGGGTCGCTACGATTTATATACTATAAAAATATATCTTCCCTCTGATGGCGATTCCTTTTGGAGTGAGTTGGGACAGTCTCCAAACTTACAATTCTCATCCCAAATACTCGATGGCCACTCACAACACGTTAGTAGCGTCTGTGGAGGTGACTGAAGAACGCGCGAGTTGCCATAGAACTCTTGAGGAGTAGTCGAGAGGAAGCCTTGGACTGGCCTTGTCTGGGCCGCAAGTTGCAGGAATGACCGGGGAGGATATATGAGCGCCAACGTCACTGCGGATGAGTGGTGCGGCACGCACTGTGCATGAGATACACGAATATAGCTAGCAGCCGAAGTAATGACCGGCTTGTTCCCAGGCGACCCAGGCGGTGCAGATTCTGCGGTACGGTTGAGTACAACGACGCAGGGATTCAATGGCCGTCTGTGTAATGGCGGTGGTTGTAGTAACCAGTAAAGTGCCTCAAGAGTATAGGTGAAATAGCTCAGGATTTCACCGCGGCCTGTCGTCTTTAGGCACTGGCAGATTCATCATTGACAGCATGTTCCCTGCTGGGCCTGGAGCGCCAGCTTGGCCCTCTAGACTTTGCAGTAGGTTTTTGGCAAGATTGATATCGATATCGTCGTCGTCTTCAACGATTTCCTCACTCTGTTCAGTTTCATCACCGGGTTCCTTTTGTGATGCATTTGATATTGCTTGCTTTCCAGTTGAGGACTTCTTCGGACGATTTAGGTCGAGGACGCCCGTGTCTCTCAGCTCCGCTTCCATCTGAGCGGAAAGCTTCTGTATTTCTTCCAAGTCGTCTTCGGATTCGGAGTCCAACTCTTCAATTCGACCGCGTGGAGCCGACGGTTGCCTGGACGCCCCCTGAAGGACAGGCCCAGAGGGCGGCAAGCCCATCATTTCTTTCATCATCCGTGAAAACTCTTCTTCATCGAAAGATACCTCTTTATCTTCGCCTTCGTCACTCACTTCATCATCGATGTCATCGTCAATGTCCGAATCCGAGCCGAAATCATCAATGAAATCGGCGCCTTCAAATCCGGCAGATTCGTCGTTCAAGAATTTCTCGAACTGAGCCACGATGCGTTGAAGATTCTCTTGCGCGTTGGCGTCCCCAAATGCGCCCTTGGCCTGTCCGTCGCTGGCCTTGCCCTTGCCCCTGCCCTTCAGCTCCCGGTCGAGATCCTCAAAACTGATGTCCAGCCATTTTTCATCGTCCTGTCTCTTATCCCATCCGGAGATCTCTTCATCCGTAGGTAATTTCTCATCTCCAGAATCCACATCTTCCAATAGAAGCTTCATTTCTCTCACAGAGGCCTTGTCTTGGTTCTGAGGATCGGTGAGGAGCATTTCAAAACCACACGAAAGTTTCATGCCTACTTCCGCCCGGTCGAATGCAATTCGGTCATCTTTCGGAGGAAGCTTTCCAACCCAGGACTTAGGTGCCGGAAAATCTTGACTCTTGAGCTGTGCATAACCGACGCGTGTAAACCGTACGCTGACGGTGACAAAATCCTCCGGTTTGAAGATGAACGTGCTAGCGTCTTTGGATCTGAGAGGTCGCAGCGCGATGGGATCTCGTAGATAAAAAGCCTCTACCGCTGCCGAAATATAGGCTGGCTTTTGGTGGAGGAGAAATGCGACCTTTCGCGGAATGGTTACGAGCGCTGAGTGGAGGTTCTCGCTGATCTGTTTGGGATAGTTCCGTAAACGATAGAAAGCTTCTTCTTGGATCATTGTAGAGCGCAAGAGTCGTTTGGGTTCCTCCTTAATTATACTTCTTGAGTCTGCAAGCGACAGCTTCTCAGTGACCTTCCGTCCTCTATCGTTCTTCGGTTTGATGATGACAAGTTCTCCTTGGTGTATCCATACCTGTGCAGTTCGTCAGCCATCGACTATGATATGAGCATCTTTGCACAAGTCATGCTACTCACTCTATTGTCCGCTATTTCCGGTTCAAGCCAGGAGGGCAGAGCGCCAGCCGCCTCAACGAGCAAAAACTGGCCGTCACTGTCGACCACCTTAACCCAAATATCCTGGTGCTTCTTTGTCAATTCGCGCAGGAGATAGACAATCACCCATTCATCTTCGATAGAGTCTCCGTAATTTGTGCGCCCTCGTAGCGCCATGATGCCTGTTAACCAAGGTGTTAGCATACGAGAGTCGGCGCAGAGTTTCGAGTGCGCAGACTACGCTCACCATCTTCCTTCGTGATCTCCAACTTGAAGCCTTCCCGCTGCCATATATAATCCTTCAGATATTCTTTCGTCAAATCAGCTGCGCTCCGTTGCACCTCCACCAACCGTGACCTTGTCTCTGTCGTCTCATCGTTGACGGCGGGGGCGGGGTTGGTGGGGATATAGTAAATGGAATATTCGACCGCATCGTCAGGGAGTTCTGGCTTAGGGATGGGATGAAAAGTGGATTTGAACCATTCAAGGTCTTCTTGAGACATGGGCGCCATCTTATATAACTGAGCAACTCTGATGCGCCAGATGAGATCTGCTGCTCGAGAAAAGAGAGGAAAGGGTCACTTCCCTTGACTGCGGCCGGAGAAAATGATAAAATACCGTCATGACTTCATACCAAAAGACACGCGGCGAAATGCTCGGCCCGACTGTCGCGAAGTGCACGCTAAACCAAATCAAGCTAGATGTCAACATTGCCCAAGCTAAGCCCAGAAGCCGGATGCTCACCGCCCAAAACACATCTGTATGAGCAGGACATCTTTCCGTCCAATCGTTCTGCTGATTGCTGTGTATGAACGACGAGGACACGAGGATGATTGCTGATTGAAATCATTACGGTTGATTTGATTCTGGATCCGGAATCACGGTCTTTCATCGCGTCAAACGCGTCGAAAATGGCGTACCCTTACATCGACACGCCGCGAACTGAGGTTGACGGAAACGCGACTTACTTGACCAACGGCTATCGGAGCGTGGGACGACACAATCTATCTGCACTCGACTCGGTCGAAAACTCATTCCAGTCGCCTTCGAAAGATGGCGATATTCTCAAGTCGCTCGGAGACCGAAGGCGCAGTTCCGGCGCGTTCAAGCTCAGCACACCGCGTGCTGGTTCGGGTTCGAGGCCTATAAAAAGCGCCTTGAAATCTCGACAGCACCTTCCTACAGTTGCACCTGCTAAAGGTGAATTTACTCCACTGATGCAGAGCGCTACGAAGAACAATCTATTGAGAAATCTGACCACGACGCGCGGGGCCAGCGACGTCAAAACACCAGCATACCTAAGAGCGAGTTATCGGAGTAATGTCAATACTCCGGGGTTACCGCCGATGGAGATGACTGGAATCGATGAGGAGGAGGACATCACAGAAGAACCGACTCCTTTGCCACAGGTTGCGAGCAGTAGTGTTCAGAGCACCCCACTCCCTTCTTTGCGAAGAGACGGAAATGTCCTCAGTGATGGACAGAATAATATGACCCTGAAGGAGCAGGAAAAGGTGAGTCAACAATGTCGTATTGACAAGATTGACCGAAATGAGAACTTTGCTAAAGACCGTTTGCCTTAGTTAATCGATAAACTCGATAAAGATAATTTCGGACTGAAACTGAAGATCCATTATCTGCAGGAACAATTGCAGAAAGCAGGTCCGGAGTATAATCAAGCGGCTCTCAAGGAGAATACGGAACTCAAGGTCACGAAGCTGACCATGCAACGAGACATTGCGCGGTATAAGAAAAGCCTTCAACAGGCAGAACGCGACCTAGAAGCCTACCGTCTACAATTTCAGGAAGTGAAGGAAAAATTGCGAAGGAGACAGATTGATGAGACTGTGCAGCAAGAGTTGGACTTGATGCGAGAAGAGATGGAAAGGAAAGATAACCGCGTAAGAGAGCTTCAAGAGGAGCTTAGAGAGGCCAAGGAACGCCAATCACAAAATCTTGAAAAGCTTCGCGACGAAATTGAGGATTTAGAGGCGACCCTTCGGGAGAAGGATCGTACCATTGAAGCGCGTGAGGAGGAAATCGAAGAATTGAAGGACAGAGACAACAAGGACCGAGATTCAGTATCTGAGCTTGAAGCAGAGCTTCGACGCGCTAAGGAGCACCTGCAGGACTTGCAAGCAAGTTTAGATCAGGCCAAGGCGGACGCCAATGAAGCTCGAAATGCTGCGAACAAAGCTGTTCAGGAAAAGGAAAAGGCCGACCAAGACCTTCGGGAACTTCATGAAGAGATGGCAAATAAGTCTTTCAGCACTAAAGGCCTCACTCGTCAACTAGAGGAACGGACGGCCAAATTGGAAGACGAGCTTGGTCATCTGCTGCGCGAGAATGATTCATTGAAGGAGCAGCTCGACCTGAAGACACAAAACGAACGCCGCCTGGAGGAACAGTATCGGAATTTCCAACGGGATATAAATGAGGAGGAAAGAAAGTTGAGAGATGACGCTACAACGGCAAAGCGCGAGCGAGACTCCACTCGACAAGAACGCGACAAACTGCTCTCCGAGTTGCAGGATGCACTTGATGAACTCCAAAGACGAACAGAAGAGAAAGATCTCTTACAAACCCGTCATCAAGCCCTGACTGATGAGTCTGGTAGTCTACAGCGCGAGCTTAGTCAGGAACGGTCTCAAGTTAGGGAACTTCAGCGAGCTTTGGACGAGGAAAAGCAGCGCTCATTGGAAAACGGACACATCATACGTGCACAGTACAAAGAAGAGGTCCAACGGTTGCAAGAAGAAATCGAGTCTCTTCAGCACGAGATTGAAGACAAAGAAGGCCAGTTTGCGCTTGAGCAGGACAGGTGGGAAAGCGCAAAGCGGACGTTACAACTGCAGAAAGACCGGGCCGAGGACCAAGCGGCTGGCTACAAGCGCACTATCGAGAAGCTCGAGCAAGTTGAGCACTCTCTTTCAGGCAAGGAAGTGAAACTGCAGGAGGTCATCGATAGTGAGAAGGCCCGACATTTCAATGCAGAAGCGGTTCTTAGTCGCCAAGTGAAGGAATTAAATGACGACATCGCATCGAAACGGGAAGTTATCGATGAGCTGAGAAACGAGCTTCTATCTGTCAAGGAAGAATTGAGAGTCACCAAACGGGAGGAACTCGCCTTGAGAGAGAGAGTTCAGGCTCTAGACGACGAGGTAGTTGTTCTTCAAGCGAGCTTAGAAGAAGAGCAAGAATACACGAAAGCTCGGCTGCAGAAAGGGTCTTCTGAAGACGGCCAGTTGCAAAAGTTGGTGGCAGAGAAGCAGAAGCTTCGTGATCAGCTGGCAAATGCTCACGTCGAACTACATGACCTGCGCACTTCAGTAGCCGAGCTAGAGGCAGAACGCGATGAACTCCAGAATCAACTCGATAACGTCAAAGACCAGGTTGACGATACGGCCCGATTTGACCGAGAGAAGATTGATCTTCGCAAATCCACCCTGCGCCTTGAAGGTGAGGTAAAGAGATTGAAGGACGATAAGGCTTCACTTCTGGAAGCGAAAGAATCTCTTGAAAAGCAACTGAGCTCTGAAATTGAGCGTGCCACGCAGGAAGAGAACCGATTGTCGGCCGAAATTGATCAGCTTCAGGATAAGCTGCATGTGGCCTCCGGTGGGCGAGACAGAGAACTGACGCTGGCTAAAGGTAAAGTACAGCGTCTGGAGAAGCGCATCCATGAGCTTGAGTTGCTTCTTGAACAGCAGCCCCTCGGAGATAACGAGCAGTCTACTTCTAATGCAGACCTTTCAATGCTCCGTCATAATTTGGACGAGGCGCGCAAGAGAGAACGAGTGCTGCTACAACGGGAAGCCGATCAGAAATCGTCCGTTCGCAAATGCAAGCAGCGAATCTCTGAGCTGGAAAGGGAGCTCCACGATGCGTTGATGAATAAATACGAAACAAGTTCGCCTCATGGGTCGCCCTCCGACAAATTACATGAAGAAACACGAAGTCTACGGAAGCAACTGTCTGAGGCTCATCGGGCCTTGAAGGAGTTGCGAGCTAAGAACCGTGACCTCGAGCGAGCAGCAATGCGAGAGGAGGATCAGCGAGATCTCCACGAACTCCTCAAATCTTCCACTCTTGAAGCCGAGTCACTGGCATTGCAAGTGTCTGAGAGGGATGCTCGCCTCAGCGACTTGAAGTCGCAGCTTCGCAGAGTCCGTGAGGAGCGCGCCTTCTGTATCAGAAAAGCTGAGACGGCGACCAAAGAGCTGGAAGGTCTTCGAGATCGCTATGACAAGATCGTGAAGAGCATTGAGTCCAACACCGACAATAAGAACAGACACGACAAAGAGATCTTAGGTCTCGGCAGGGAGATTATCTGGCTTCGAGCTCGTTTGAGGCGAGAGGAGAAGTTCCGGCGTGACCTAGCTTGGAGCAAGGGCTTGATGGAGCTTGGAGAACGCGTCCGCGTTGCTTGGTATGTGCACCTGTCTTGTATTTTCCCCCTCTCGTACAGCCACTGACTATCAACTAGTAACGAGGCCGACCTCAGAATGATCAACGAGATGGGCGTCAAGCCTCGGGACCGGACCCATTTCCGCACTCCGCGGCAAAAACTGAAGACTGCCGTCTCCATGGTTCTGGCCACAGTTCGCATGCAAAGAAAGTCTCGTGAATGGTCGAAGACGAAGAAGTTAGGCGAAGGCCTCAAGCGGGCCAAAAATGAAGTGTTGAAGAAGAGGAGGGAGAGCTCCAGCAAAGCCGCAATGACTTGATTTTGATATTCTCCATTCCTTGCTTATATCGTTCTCTGTTTCCTCCATATAGCCCTCATTCTTGTCTGATTCTGTTGCAGAGATTCCCCTGTGTGCTTTGCATACCCCATTCGCATATGGTCTTGTTTAGCTTCTTTCCTAGGGTGTTGATGGATGTACTAGTTTCGATCTTTATTACTGCGAACGCTCTAGGCTTTTGATTCATCGCCGGTTAAGAGCCGGGGATAATGCGGAGTTGGGCATAGATTATGACTTGGGCATTGTTGCTTTCATGATCAGGATATTCCAATGAGAGATGTCATTTTTTTTCACCCGTTAGTAGTCATCAGGAACCAATTCAGCCCAGATGATGGACAACTAGAAAGAACTTGAAATTTCGAATCTGCCTATTGATCCTTGACAGCTCGTTTGCAGCATAAAATTTGTGACAAAGCTCTTCTTGAGAATATGAACAAGTCCAACCCATATCCAAGCCATTTAAGTGTGACAAAAGACACAAGAGATGAGAAGAAAGAACGCCTCGCCTCGCCGAACGGATAACGCTTCTGAACACCGAGCTCTTGATGACAACATGAAGAAGAAAAGGTAAGGGCATATCGAAGACATAACGCATAGTGGTGGCTGTATGTGGGATAACAGGACCGAAGCCGGCTCTTTGACGGTTTCCCCAATGCGTCGGGGGAAAATCTGAAAGTCGCATATGTATACCAGGTACCGATAGGAAGGCAGTATGCAGCAGGGTTCTATCAGTTGTATCGTTGCAGGAACAGACGTGAAGATCAAAGGAAGGATGGGGATCAAGCTCCCTCACTGCCGAATTCTTTGGTCCATTCCGCGTTCCTTTGGAGGTCTTCCTGGCTGACTGTTGGTCTTGAATTGCGAACAGCTTTGATGAAGTCCTTCAACATAAGAGGTGGCTCGAGGAGTTGATCGGCTTCAATGTTCACCCATGACATCTCGACCGCACCGCTATCGCCAGGCGAACAAGGAGTCAATTTTTCTGCGCCATCGACCATAACCTGCTGCTCGTCAGTGAGATCCACGTCATAAGGAAAGAAACGCGAGGCTCTTACCTTCTTGTAATGTGTCGCTGTCTGGATTTTACGAATGGGCTGCATTAGTGCATCTTGGACGGCGATGCTGATATCGCTGCCAGAATAGCCCTCGCTCATCTCGGCCAAGGTCCGGTAGTCGGCCTGCGTCATTTGGCACGGTGTTTGACCCACGGCGAGCATGAACATCTTCATCCGGGCGTTGATATCGGGAAGACTGATATGTACTCTCCGCTGGAATCTCCGTCGAATCGCTGCATCTAGTTGCCAAGGGATATTTGTTGCGCCTAAGATCAGCACTCCTCGCGAGTCCTTGCCGACACCGTCCATTTGTACAAGAAGTTCGGTTTTGATACGGCGAGATGCCTCTGATTCTCCTTCACCACGAGGTCCACAAAGGGCATCTACCTCGTCAATGAAGATGATCGCTGGTTTGTTTTCGCGCGCCATGTTGAAAAGCTGCTTGACAAGCCTGCGGCGTATGTGTTAGTGAAAAGCCGCGTCGAGCAGTGCGATGCTCGTCGCTCCGGAGAGATCCATACCTTTCACTCTCACCCATCCACTTAGAAACCAAGTCACTGCTACTGACACTGAAGAACGTGCTGTTTGCTTCCGTCGCAACGGCTTTGGCCAGGTATGACTTTCCGGTACCCGGAGGTCCATAGAGCAGAATACCCTTCCAAGGCTGCCGTTTCCCAGTAAACAGATGCGGAAACTTGATAGGTAAGATAACAGCCTCCTTTAAAGCCTCCTTGGCACTTTCAAGACCTGCAACATCCTCCCATTTCACGTTCGGTTTGTCCGACAAGATAGCGCCAGCGAGGGCCGACCGTAGCTTCTTCGCATCGGCATCTTCACTATCGTCGTCTTCCTTCCTAATGAAACGCGTGTATCAGTATGAGACCCAAGCAATTCGGCCAGTGTCAGTGCAAAGACAGGAATTCCGAGGCCATACCCGCCCTTCCCACTTCCTTGCGCCACCTTGCCGTTGGCGCCAATAGCGCTCGGTTTCTTTTTGTCTTCACTCTGAGCCAGATGGTTTTTGAGTTTCTCCGCTCGATCCATATACTCGGCCGTCTTTGCGCGAATCATCTCCTTGGACCTGGGGTTTTTCTCCCACTTCAAGGCCAGCATGAACAGCTCCAGTGCGGAGTAATAGCCCTGATACGCCTTCTCGTACTCGCCGCCATTGTCGAGCTCGATGGCCTTTTTCACGGCATCGATCGCCCGACCTAAGAAATCTGTATTATTGGTCATGATCACACGCAGTTCAAACTGCTTGATTCTCCAACACTGGCGTCGACGTCGGGGAGCCGATCGGAGAGTGAAAGGCGGGGGAGCAACGAAGGGACAGACAGTTGCCTGGTTGATTTGATTGCAAGGTGAACGGGGTAACCGGCGAAACAACTAAAACGATTGAGCGAGGCTGAGTACCAGTAGTTTTTTAACGCATAAGCGAATCGTGTTAATGCGACAGAAGGGACAGTAAGTGCTTTTCTTGTTCACAGCAGTATGACGACGAGAGAAAGCGGACGGACACTCGCCTGGAGGAAGTGAGTTGGTTCGGTCGTTGTTTACCGTTCTGTCATTACGGTAATTACCAACATTTTGTGTCCCCGCCAACGCCCCTCACGCTCAAGAGACAGCATTGCCAAAGCCATAATCAACTTTTGAAGAAGGATACTCAAGGCACTATGGCAGACCCGCAGAAGCAGTTTCAGGCTCTCTCTGATGAGTATCAGAAGCTACAAACCGGTATGTGATCCCGGTTCTCAGCACCCAAAACAATTCAATCAACTCAATGGCATCATCGCAAGCTCTAACGCGCTACCAATATCATCTCCAGATCTCGAAGGTTTCATCGATGCTCGCCAGAAGCTCGAGTCGCAGCAGCAGGAGAACAAGGGCGTGCAGGGGGAATTCGACAAATTAGATGAGGACTCGAAAATCTACAAGATCGTTGGGCCCGTCTTATTGAAGCAAGACAAGAACGAGGCCGTCATGGCTGTAAACGGACGACTCGAGTTTATTGAGAAGGAAATGTGCGTTTTCCCTTATCATATACTTCCAGCACGGATCGAAGATCATGGCTGACAGCGTCGATAGCAAGAGAATCGAGGGACAGATCAAGGAGGCTCAAGAAAAGGCCGAGAAGAAACGGGCGGAGGTGAGAAACAACCCTCGGAAAGCTATCATAGTCGTGTTCTGACGGGCTATTGTCATGGCAGATTGTTCAGTTCCAAACCCAGCTTCAGCAGCAAGCTGCCGCTTCTGCTTGAGAAGTTTTAGATCCTGGTTCAATCCGGCTCCCTGGGAGATCTGGTCCTAATCTCAAGGATGCCAGACCACACTAGTCTTGGGAATGCCTTGTCGCACAGCTCCACCTCGTCTGTGGGATACAACCCATGCTTTGCGCTCCTTTGGCCATCATAAGAGGATAGTCCAGATTAAGCGAATCTGGTCAACTACCGGGTCGGGCCAGAGGAGGGTTGTTTTGCCGATATCTCTACGTATTCGTCACTAACTGATATGTGTGAAGCCTGACTCGAGGGTTCTGACGGCGGAATTTCTATATACCCCCTTTGTGTTGAGCTGCAGTCTAAAGTCGCATCGAACGTTAGCCGATGCTGGACGACTATGCATTAAATTTGTCTATAGAGTCAAGATAAGGACCTGCAGAGTAATATCTCGTAACAGTCAGAACGACCCGCACGTATATAGCGCAACGCATCGCTCCTGGACACTGAGTCGTCTGTAACAGCAGATCATTAAGACGCCATTGGGATATATTCGCTTTTCAAGGGCTCTCCAAAACTACCCGTGGCTATGAAATCATCGCTTGTGAATCTATTTCGTCAACTCCTCCCATTGTACGCCAGCCCATTCCTCACGCCATCCGACTACTCCGACCTGTTTAGGCCCACAGTCTTTACTGCAGACACCAAGAATGATGGTGCCCCATTCCATGCCAGCATCATCCTTGGGCCCTAAGCCGACTCCCTCACGGCCCTCTTCTAAGACGGTAATAGTGTGCGGTACGAGTTGTAGCTCAAAGACACGTTCACTACCGCAGTACTCGCAGCGTGGAAACCGGTTGGCGCCACTTGCGACAGTCGTCACCCGGGAACCAGAGCTGCCATGCTTGGTGTCGTGGAGCCGCTTGCCCACCGCGTCCGTGTATGAATATAGGAGCGGAGATCCACGGAACTCATAGCGTAGAACTTGCTCTGGGTTGTGTGCTAAGCGTGTTGAGAATCGGATAAAGGCCTTGTCCAACTCAGACTCAAAGGCATCCTTGAGATCTGAAGAAGACCCTTTGCCTGTTTCCTCCTCTTCGGCGTTATCTATCGTGACATTCGCAGGAATTGTTGGCGTAGGTGGTCGAGAAAGTGTCTCATATTCGGCGTCCAGGTAAAACTGCGGATACGGAGCGGGGAAGGCGGACTTCTCAGGCCAAGGGGCAGGGGGTCCAGCGGCTTCGGGTGGCATGGTTTCTGGGGGCGGGGAGGAGACTCTGACCTTGTCGGCGAAGGTCTCGGAAAGAGTGCTAGTTGATGGTGTTGTAGTTGAGGTCTCCTTAGCTGGCGTCGGTGCTGCAGTAGGAGCCGCAAATGGGTTGCTGGCAAGCGCTGAAGATGTGTTCGATGAGAAGGGATTCGGGTTCGCGGAGACACTGCCAGTGAGAGAGGTAGTCCCGAATAGACTCGCTCCCAGATCCTGCTTTGGAGCCTCGACCTTCTGTTGTTTGTCCTCCTTCGGCTTCTCTTCTGTTTTCCGTGGCGCGTGCTCCACCTTGAGCTTCCTCACTGCGCGCAACGCTCTGATGCTGCCTGGCTTCTTATTGCATGCCTTTCTGGGACATCCAAAGATATACAGCCGTCTCTCATCATCCGGAAAATGATCGGGAAGGTCACCGTGTAATTCAAGGAGGAGAAGCATCGGACTATTGCAAACTTTGCAATTGGCGAAATCACCTGGGGGCGGGGTAGAATCGTCAAGCCATGTCTAGCCATGAAGATCAGTATGGATACATCCTTTGATAGACGAGTCGCTCCACATACCGGCCAGCCTCCAAGGTGACTGATAGTATCATCTATGACTTCTTCGGAAGGATATCCTAGAAGCACTCCGGTCTCAGTGAAATCCCCCTCATCATCGAAACCCGACGAATCGCTGTCGTACGGATCCATTGTCGCGAGTTCTAATTAAGCAACAAATTAAACAATCAGTCTGAGTTATATTTCCAGAAATTGCATATAAACAACAAGTGAAGTGTAGCGCTGTCAACCCCTCCAAAAGTTCTTTACCTCCGAAAAAAAGATAAAAAGATCGAGCGCGATAAGCGATACGAGCCTGGTATTAAACTAGTCCGAATGTGGACTAGAGCGATATGGCCTCTGTGCTGTCTTGAGGCCTCCCATCATCCCCAACGACAGCACTTCCTGTGGAACGTCTGACATATTCATCTGTTTAAACAAGGAGACTCAATTTTGTATATATCATACTATTGTCTATTGATGGAATCCTGTGGTTCCGAATGAGACAGTGAATCGAGGTTGTCTCGGCCGGAACTCCATCAGTGACGTACTAGTAGTTTGGTTGATCCTAGTGCCCCCGAGCATCAACTATACCATTGGCAGACATCTAATGCACTTATGGATTCCTCATCGCAGTCGATCCAACATGCATTCATACGCTTGTGTACTATTTCATTTGCAATAACCCTTTTTGCCTCGCTCATCAGTGCGGAACAACAACCGCTAGGCACACCTCACAACAGCCCAAAACGGGTTGCAATAATCGGTGAGCAACTCGAAACCCAAATATTACCAATAGAAGACTAACATCGATTCAGGCACCGGGGCTGCAGGGTCATCCACTGCGTACTCTTTGCGCAAGTTTGCAGATTCTCTTCAAATGCCAGTTGACATCACGGTCTATGAACGGAATTCATATATCGGCGGCCGTTCGACAACCGTCAACGCGCTGGATGATCCGAAGTACCCAGTAGAGCTGGGCGCCTCCATCTTCGTATCGGTCAACTATAACCTAGTGAACGCCTCCAAGGAATTCGGACTTACTGTCCGAAGCGCAGACCACGCTCGCCCCAGAGAGTCTGACGATACGATTGGCGTCTGGGACGGCGAGCAATTCGTGCTGGTGCTACAGGACACCTATAGCTGGTGGAATATTGCTAAACTGTTATGGCGCTATGGATTGTCACCCATTCGCACTCAGAACTTAATGAGAAGCACAGTCAATAAGTTTCTCCGACTTTATGACTCGCCTTATTTCCCATTCAGATCCCTTACTTCGGCTGCGGCCGCAGTTGACTTGCTAAATACAACGTCAGTCCCAGGAGAAGTTCTTCTTCAGAGCGGCGGCATATCCGCGGAGTTTTCGCGAGACGTGATTCAAGCGAGCACGCGAGTCAACTACGGGCAGAATCTACCTCTGATCCACGGTCTCGAGACGATGGTTTGCATGGCTACGGACGGAGCGGTTTCTATCGAGGGCGGCAATTGGCAGATTTTCGATGGCATGCTGAGGTCCTCAGAGGCCGATGTCAAAGTCAATCACAGTGTGACGTCCATTCAACGGAATGCCGATGGCACACTGACCGTCGGGTTCAAGACTACCGAAGTCGAAGAAAGCTCCGTGTTCGACGAGGTGGTTATCGCCGGTCCATTACAATATTCAGGCATCGCTATCGAGCCACCCCTTGAGCACGTCCCCGATGAAATCCCCTACGTCAAGCTCCATGTGACCCTCTTCTCCTCACCACATCTGCTTTCTCCACGATTCTTCAATCTCCCGTCCGACAGTCGCGCTCCCGAGACCGTTCTCACGACTCTTCCCCGCGGGGTGGACCTGGGATCCAGCAAGGCAGGCGTCGGCCCAGCCGGCTTCTGGAGCATCAGTACCCTCCGCACTGTGCAAGCTCCGCGTAGCGACGGTACCCACGAGAAACAGTACGTATACAAAGTGTTCTCGCCTGAGCGTCTCACCGCGTCGTTCGTGGGCGCTATCCTCGGCCTCGAGCACAAAGAATACTCCGCCAATTCGTCAATCGGCGACCTTCCAAAGGATGATGTGAGCTGGCACTATGAGAAGATCTGGAACCCGTACCCGTTCCTCTACCCGCGGGTTACCTTCGAGGACACAATGATTGCGCCGAATCTCTGGTACACCGGCGGCATTGAGAGCTTCATCTCGACCATGGAAACCAGTGCCCTGATGGGTAAGAATGTTGCTTCGTTGATCTCGCAGTCATGGGAGGATCAAAAGGGCAGCGATGGTCAGGAAACGACGCGCCAGGAGAAGACTGAGCTCTGAGAAATCCAAATCTGTATCACTTTAGTTTGTGTGTCACTGCAGCTATAGAAAGTATATAAATGTGTGCCCACGATCGTAGAAATGAGGTCCATGTTGCAAAACAACGTCCTTCCACTAAGAATATTACTGAAACATGATCATGTAGATTCTAAGTCACTCACCCCGTGCTGGAAAACGGACGCTGAAGATGAGAAGCTGGGAGAAGCTCGGCAGCACTTGAGGTGGATAAGATGAGGACAGTTGGAACTACAGTTACATGGTTGTGAAAGGGAATATCTTGAAATCATTAATCTTTTTAGTCCATTCATAGACTACCTTAGTCAAGATGATTGATGGTAGCTAAGCCCAATTTGTGGCCAGACAGTGAACCTTTCGTCCTGTTGAAGAAATGTTGAATATTTGTTCATGCTCATGTATACCGTATCCCATGACCCGCGTAAGGTTGAAAAAGCAGACCTGTAAAAACCCCTGTAACGTACTCCCGGCGACCCAATTTTATACGTAATGATGTTGAACTCGTCAAAAGCCTGAAGAAAACCAGAAAAGCATATTTTGGTATCATGTGAGATTATTTGTTCTGCTCTGATGTTTAAACAGGCAGGGGGTAGGTGCTGGCCCACTCGGCGACCTCCTTGCGGAGAGCGAGGATCTCGGGAACAGAGTCGGAGGCAACCTTGGCCTTGAAGTCCTTGAGCTTGTTGGCCTCCTTGGGCAGGTCAGCCTGGATGCTCTTGCAAAGGTTGATGACCTGGTCGATGTAGCGAGCGACGCGCTTGAAGTCCTCCTCGCTCATACCACGGCTGGTCATAGCGGGAGTACCAATGCGGATACCGCAGGGGGTCAGGGCAGACTTGTCGCCAGGAATGGAGTTCT